AACAGATGATGATGATTTCATAGAAATTTTTGAAGATCATAATTGACAGAAAAGTAAGAGATCAGATGTAGAAGAGAAGTGGTGAAGTGATCACAGCCTGAAACACGATTGGAAATTTTTTTTATATTTTATGCCAAGCAAGGCAATAAAGCTACTAAGACTCAAGGGTTTACTGAATGTTAGAGAATATGAGGAAAACTACCATTAAGGAGAGAGGACAATAAAAGAACAAGAATTAAGAAGTACAGAAGATAACGATTGACATTGCATTTACATTTTAGAAGATCAAAGGCAATAAAGCTACTAGGATGCAAAGGGGTTACTGAGTGTTAGAAAATATAAGGAAAACTAAAATTTAGAAGAGAATACAATAAAAGAACAATGAAGATCAAAGTTGACTGGGAAGCAAGAAGCCGGAAGGGAGTTCCACAAACGAGAAGTGCGATAGAAGAAACTGTTAGCATAGAACTTTCATTTCAACTGTAAAATGATGAGACCTTGCTGCCAATTTAGTAATGCACTTAAATTCATAAAGTCTAGGTACCATAGTATCTGCAAAATTATTATACCTAAGCCTTTGGAGGGAATTAGGTATGCACTGTTTGGATGTCATCTCAGAATCACAAGTCAAACTGAGGTTTTGATAGGTATGCTTAGCATAGTTGCAATATAAACACAGGGTTTCTCTGTAGAAGTTGAACAAGCACAAATATTCCTGAGTTGGTGTCTGCAACAAGGATTGGCTACCACCTTAGTAGATGTGTGCTCAGAAACTCAGACACATGTACACGCGCACACACACACGCACACACACACAGACATATATATATATAAATATATATGGGAAAGAATGGAAACTATATATATATATATATATATCAAGATGTCTTACACTTCATTTGTTGGATTCAAGTTTTATTGCACAACATCTAAAAACACATTCCTGTCCTCTTTCACAATACAGGAAAATACTTATTGACAACACTAATATACTACACCACGAAAATAATAGACAACATTTCCAATTCTCGGGGCACTCTATATAAAAATCAATCAACTAACACTCAACAAAATTTATTACGAATATAGCAGAAACATATTTAAGTACATCGTTGTGTATGATACACCTAATTTACATAAGTGGAGTACCGACCATATAAATATGGGTTGGTACCGGAAGACGACGGAAGATTAAGAGATCGAATCCAGAGACTCTGCCCGACTGCGACTTAGTCAACCCATTCTGCAGGAACAGTCTTCCCAAGAATATACCAAAACTACCTGTAAATATTGTGTACCTTTTTTCATTGTTTCAATACATTTTGTTACGTACATTTTGTGTTGTATTATTATTATTCCATGCTTATTCAAGCTTCAACATACATATAACAAACATTTGATGTCATTTTACATTTCTACCAATTTCCAGGAAGTTACTTTATATTGAAACGATTGTTTTGCAAAATATTCCATAACGATAACGAATGAATTTAAACATTCTAAAATAACTTTAACAGAACGCGTTTTTTTTTAAAAAAAATCACTATTACAACGGAATGCAGATTTTATCGCAATTATAATAAGTTTATCTTTTTAATTTACTCCTGAAGATGATCTTGGAAAAGGTCGAAAGTACTTGAGTGCCTTCCTTGATGAATTTCATCTTAACATCAAGACACTGATTAGACAACTGGAAAGGATCAGTATAAAAATAAATAGACACAATATGTCTATTTTAGTCAATGAAACAGGTTTGAATGAACATATACGTCCTAAATATATTATATATATATATATATATATATATATATATATATATATATATATATATATCTTACTTATTATAAAACACAGATTTGTGTGTGTGTGTGTGTGTGTGTGTGTGTGTGTGTGTGTGTGTGTGTGTGTGTGTGTGTACGTTTATATATTGGATCGGATTTCCTACATTTTTCAACCGATTTCAACAAAACTTCACAGGACTGCGTAAAATTACCTTGCCTGGGTATGACGCAAAACTAAATCCGGAAGGAAGTCTTCTCATCAGGAGGATTTGAGGGGCGTGGAACCATCTTTTAATTGCTGTTGTTCCCAGGTCCGCCCTGACCTGGAGTGGTAGCACCTGTTAGGGTCCCAGCTATGGGCAAATAGTGCCTATCAGGGCTGACCAAGCTCTTTAATGTTTTAGAACATGACTGGTCTAGGAGATGGAAAACTCTTACGCGAAAAGCCTGAGGTATGTTGTCTGCTTCGTCTGTGGCATTTACTTGCACCGACCGAGTGTATCAATAGTTCCGAAAAGTGTGGACAGTTCTGCACAACCCCTCAACCACTTTAATCAAATGATTGTGTGGGTTTTCTGTTATCCTCATACGTCGGAACCGACGGGAGAGTCCATTATATATATATATATATTGTGTGTATTTAGGCAGCATTTTTAATTCATACATGTTTCATTAAATAATATAGACAAGTGTTGTCTATTTATTTTATGTAACAACCTAACCTAAACAAAATCAACTATGAAATCTCCACAAATATCCTTAAATGTCTATAATTGGTAACGGAAGCCATTGATTTATACCAACGGCTTCCCATACTTCTCGAATTCACTCTCGCGTGGTCATGTGTGACGTCATGAGCTGCGGTGCGATTTTCGCTTCTAGCGTCTTATATGCACGTGTTTATCGTTGCTTGGAAATCATCCATGCAAACAATAACAGGCTATCATCACTGTCTTGTCCGTATATTGTTTAATATGTTGTACAGTAATTGATGTCTTTGATAATGGCTTATGTAAGCCGAAAGCTTAGATTGGATTAAAAAATATGGATCAATATTGTGATTTTCTTTCTTCGTTTAATGATAATGTTATTAAGCTTATCAGACGTTATGAAAAGAATTTACATAAAATAAATAGAAAACACTTGTCTATATTATTTAATGAAACATGAATATATATATATATATATATATATATATATATATATATATATATATATATATATATATAATTTCAAACTGTTGAGAAGGCAAAGGGTAACCGTTCCACTATCTTTCCAAAACAGAATGCGCAGTTAATGTAATGATTGCACTGTGTCACAAAATTTTGACTTTTTTTTGTCGGTAGGTTGTATATCCTATTTGCTTCTGTCTGAAAAGCAAAGGAAATGACTATTATCCCCCATCAAATTTTACTTTTGATGACATGGACATCGATGTTTTAAATCTAACCTCTTTTCCACTACATTCCAGACAGATTCAGCACTGAGTTGCTGATGGAGAATTTATACCAGAACTTTCTAGAAGTTTCAAGAACCCTCGAGAAATTTCTAAAAATTTCAAGAATTTTTAGAATGTTCTGGCCACGACTGAAAACATTATTTGATAGTAGTAGGGTTACCCTATTGTACTTGACAGTATAAAAATGCGTTAAAATAGTGTACTTACAGTGAGGCAGAGGTTCAAAAATACGTTTGGATAATTTAAGATTTCGGATAATTAAATACCTAAATTTTTGAAAAAGAAAAGCCATTTTCTGAAATAAATTTAACATTTATATCAGCAAATAACATTTTCAAACGCTTTTTTCAATGTTTTGTTCAGTTTATTTTGATGAAAATATGCGTCAATTTTTGTCTGTTCTGGGCTGGCCTTGCGTTTTTACGTCGCAAACTCCCGAAGCTGGATTAAAGTAGATATATTTGTAAGAGTAGTTTTTTCTGGTTAGAAGCACAACCGACTTAAACATTTACGAAACACGATTATTGCTTTGGTGTCGGAAATTGAAATCTTTCGACGCTTGTTTGAGATAAAATATTAGAATAGCTTTAGTCCGGATAACTGAAATGTTTGAATGATTTTAATTTTTCTTTTCATTTCACGTCCGGAAAATAGAGCTACGGATAATCGACGAAGTGCTTGATATATATATATATATATATATATATATATATATATATATATATATAAAGAAGGCAAGGCACGTAGCCGACGTACGGCGGCCATCGGCGCCATCTCCCAAAATATAATACGCTACCACGTGACGCTCTATGAGGAAGACGATGTTGTTTCTTCACCGGCTGTATGCTATATTGGATTGTGTTACATTCGCTGTCACTTGTGTCGTTTTTCGGGAACTTTTTGCCTTTCATTATGGCTCCCTAACGTAAAGCAGACTAGTGGGTGCTTATGTAGCTGAGTTCCGACCTACGTCGAAAATCGGCTTACGTCACGCCGTCGGAACGCATCTCCGACGTAAGTCGAGGACCTCTGTATATGGGATATAAATTGTTTATATATCAAGAAGAGTTTTGGAGAGAAGATGTATGACAAAGCGAAAAAAGTTTTCGCGTGATGCGTTTCGTCCCTTAGGACTTCATCAGTGTGTTTTTACGTTGATGCGGCTACACCTGCGCACGAACGAGAGACCTGGGAATTTAAATTTAGAAAAAAAAAATTTTAGATGGGTTTTTAGTTGGGTATAGAATCTACCCAATTTAATTCAGATTCTTTTGTTTTTGTTTTCATCATCTTTGTTATTAAATATCCCACATTGTCATTACAGAAGATCTGTCAAGAACGGTGAAAAGTTGTAAAAACCTGGACACAAATTCACTGCGGATGACTAAGCGATTAAAACACTTTCTAAACATTTTCGTCTTACTGAATTGTTTTATCTTTTAATTAGAATAACATTTTTTATGTCACAAATGTGGTCAGTCTCGTTACGGTGAATAACCAATGCGTTTAAATGAGTTGATATCAAATACAGATCAAATATAGATCAGAATCCGACAGAATGATAGGATAAAGAACAAATATGCAACGTTTATCAATAACATGTTTCACTTTTATTAAAGCTTCATCAGAGAATGAGATAGGGACAAAAAGAAGAAATTCTGATATTTTTATTTTGAGTTGTTTGATTTTCATTGGTTTATCAGGTTTCACGTGCATTTGACTTGTTAAGAAACGTTAGTATATGTCGTTCCCAATTCAAATTATAGAGATAGATAGATAGATAGATAGATAGATAGATAGATAGATATAGTTAAATTCCCAGATGAATTCTGTGAACAAGACAGATTGGTATCAAATGACAATTGGAAAAAAATCTGACATTTTGCCGACGCGTTTCGTCTTCCGACTTTTCATCTGGGAATTTAACTATATTGTCGACATGGAAAAAAAAAAAAAAATCCCTTAAAGGTAATTTACATTAACCAGAAAAAAAAAAGGCTTAGACAGAAGCGTCTATTTGGATTTTTAATGTAACTATAACAGCAAACCAAAAACATTTCGATTTCATTTTTGCCTTGAAAAAGTCGGAAGACGAAACGCGTCGGCAAAATGTAAGGTTTTTTTTCCAAGTGTCATAGATAGATAGATAGATAGATAGATAGAGAGAGAGAGAGAGAGAGAGAGAGAGAGAGAGAGAGAATAATCTTGTGGCGGACTTCACCGATTAGGAAGTCAGTTTTTAACAGAGATGACCATTTGTGAAAGTGCATTGTGTACACATATAATCAAAATAATTGCCAAGTCTTCATATATCACTCACATGCATCAGTAAATGCCCCCTTTTATCACTGTTTTCCACCCATTCCCCCATGTTTTCATATATGACGATTACCCAGTTTAATTCTGCCACCCCATCACCGTATCTCCTGAAACCAGATCTTTGAGAAACATTTTCATAAAAACAAAGAAATATAATAATAATAATAAAACTAAAGTTTGCAAAAATTCACCACTGAGTATATCCATGCATTCATGCGTTTCAGAAAAAAAAAGAAAGAAAGAAAGAAAAAAAGGAAAGCGATAGAGAGAAAAGGCAGTGTCAAACGGAAAAGAACGAAAGAAATAAGGAAGAAAGAGAGAAAGAAACAAACAAACAAAAAAGAAAGAAAGAGAGAAAAGGCAGTGTGAAACGGAAAGGAACGAAAGGAATAAGAAAGAAAGAAAGAAAGAAAGAAAGAAAGAAAGAAAGAAAGAAAGAAAAGAGAAAGAAAAGAGAAAGGAAAGAGAAAGAAAGAAAGAAAGAAAGAAAAGAAAGAAAGAAAGAAAGAAAGAAAGAAAAAAAAAAGAAAAGAAAGAAAGAAAGAAAGAAAGAAAAAGAAAAGAAAGAAAAGAGAAAGGAAAGGAGAAAAAAAAAAAAGAAAGAAAGAAAGAAAGAAAAAGAAAGAAAGAAAGAAAGAAAGAAAAAGAAAGAAAGAAAGAAAGAGAAAGAAAGAGAGAAAGGAAGCGAGAAAGAAAGAAAGAAAGAAAGAAAGAAAGAAAGAAAGAAAGAAAGAAAGAAAGAAAGAGAGAAAGGAAGCGAGAAAGAAAGAAAGAAAGAAAGAAAGAAAGAAGAAAGAGAGAAAGAAAGAAAGAAAGAAAGAAAGAAAGAAAGAAAGAAAGAAAGAAAGAAAAATAAATAGTGGAGAAAGAAAGACTTGTGAGATATTTAAAGGGATTTGACTTGAACTACAAAATGTAACTGAAACAATTACACCCCCCTAAAAAAAGCAAAAAAAAAAAACAAACAAATAAAATACCATCGGATGTAGAATGCTTCCTAGGTAGGCCGGAGAAAATATCGGTCAAAGCATTGTGTGATAAAAAAAGAACGTCACTGAATGGCCTTCCCAAAATATAGAATGAAAATATTTTTTTAAGAATAAAAAAAATATAAAAAAAAGACGATTTAAAAAAAAAAAATTTTCAAAGAAACTGTCTATAAAATTTGCATAAATTTTATGAAAAATTCCATGTTAGCTTTGTGTGGAGTTAGAATGATAGAAGCAAATAGTTTGTCATTAAATTTTCACGGTTATTGCAAATGATTTTGAATTTTTGGTCTATAGCGTAAAAAAAAACTGACAGAAGACATCTATCAACGCTTTAAAAAACTTTCTAGTTGCATCATTTAATTAATTTATATTAAAAAAAAAGGCTTACAGGACGTCCAGTCAGACAAGAAGAGACTCGTTAACAATTAGTACCCCTTATGGAAGTACTTAAAATAAGTATGAAACAAAATGAAAAGTGAAAACCTAAGGAGAGACAAGATAATAAATAAATAAATATGATATTAATAAACGAATAGTTAAGAATTTACATTTATTATTTGTTTCTCGGATTGAGAAGATCGACACGTGGTCTGCACGTGGTTTCACACATCTGCGCGCACCGACCACGTGGGCAAAAGAAAGGGAAATCCATTTCATTATTACTGGAAGTAACTCTTAAATCTAGCTATCTATCTAGCAAGCTTAGAAATTCGCGTACATACACACACACACACACACACACCGAATTTTGATGTTGATGAAAACACTTTCTAACAATCGTTAAAAAAAAGCAGTAACAATGACGTAATTTTAATATTAATAGATATTCTTGTGAATATTAATTCGATCCAAGCCTGTTGCCAATGTTTTCAATGATGGGGCCAGCAGATAAGAATTTGCGCAATAAAATTACTTCATGTCATTTTCACGAGTCGGGGCGGATGATTTTATGGAGCTGAGGGTAGGTGGCGACAGGCCTACTTCGAGCGCTCGAAGAAATTGATCACCCTACCAGTGAGAGTTTTAATAATAAAAAATCTCATTTAAACTAAATTTGGTCTCCCCAAAATAATATTCTTTGCAAACACATTAATATGCAACAAAAGAGGAAGTTGAATATGCACATTTTGCAAAATTGGTAAGGTACTCAAAATAATGCACTCTCAGCCACAGCTGTTCATACCGAAAAAAAGGCTTCTCCATAGAGATAAGGGCAAGTACATTATAAGGATTAAATGTGCGACAAAGCAAGAATTCTGTTGAGAGCATGCGTAGAATTACGCTTCCGCTTATACATGCTGTGCCCGGGCCCCGAACGGAAGTAGTATTATTGACTTTTGCGCATGACCTACAAGAAAAAAAAATGTTAAATTTAAATAAGAACAGAAAACTGATTATGAATGAAAAAAGCAGTGTAAACATATGTTGATATCGTTAATAAATCATAAGGTTTAATTATTTCGTATAATTTTAAAAATATATATTTCATGGAAATTTTGAGTTTTCAATAAAAAAAGGGATGTAAAAAATATGTATTTGGTAGAATAAAATAACTTCTCTCGGGGCTCAGGTAACTCGTTGAAACGGCAAAATGTATTTTTCTTACAAGAAAAAAAAAAGAGGAAAAGAAAGTATTTTGCAATATGAAGCAAGTGAAAAACGCGCTCACGCGCGTGCGCATGTTCACGGACGCGCGCGCACACACACACACATATGTATACATGCACACACTTCCCACTCATAAGAAAAAAAAACCTACACAAACTCGCACCCCCCAAAAACGTGTATTTTGTTCTGTCCGTCTGTGACTTTATTGCCGCTAAAGCGCAAAGGTTTGTCTCATTTTTGTATCTTAATAAAAAGGCCTGTGCGAGCTCGTCTGACGATGGACTGATGATGCTGGTCGAAACGTCGTTATGAAAAAAAAAAAAAAAAAGACGTCGACAAAAGATTAATTATCCGTACTAGCTCCTGCTAAAAAGGTTACCTAATAATAACTCCACCTTAAAATTAGGGGCTTTAAAAACAGACTAAACTCCCACCAAACGAAAAAAGGTAAAAAGTGTATTATTGCAAATGACAATGTATTCTAAAAATTGTAAATTATTGTGAGACTACAATACATATATATATATATATATATATATATATATATATATATATATAAGCATATGCAACATATGCAAATATGCATATTACGATATGTATACTTATAGTTATATACAAATGAAATATAGAATTATTTCAAACGTTATGACTACACCTTAAAGAGGCATCAACACAAAATAAGTCTCTTTGTATAAGAATCTATGGATTACCATACAAAATTATTTAAAATAAAGAAATATAGTTTTTATTCGAAAAATAATGTTGAAATTACATAAAATCGCTAGTTTTTATCTTCATTAACACGTTTCTATCATTTTGCAATCATTGTGTCATTGTGTAACGACCATTTTATAGTAGCTCATTAATATTACCCATACTCTTTTGTGACACCTTTGGGCAGCCGTAGTTTTCTGCGAAAAAGGTGAACGTTTGGAAGCGTTGAGCATGCGCACTGATATCGCAGGGCCATCTTGGAAGCAATGAAGAGATATATTGCAACCGTGAGATTTTCCCTCTCGCTTTGTTCATGAACACCGGATTATGTTTCCAAATGGAAGAAGATGACATTTGAGGGGACCCAGGATGAATCTAAGGAGTCCAATACAGCCTTACTTGAGCAATTCTCTTGCGATACGTCAGGAAATACAACGATTTGAAAGCGTCCATCCCAGTATATATGCGATCTATGATTTGATAGAAGCGATTCAGGATCCACTCATACAACAGCAAGTTCGCGAACATGTTGTTTGCATTGAAGGTTTGTCTTTACATCTGCAATTTCTTTTCAAATTGGAGACTATTAATTATAAACACTGTCTTTTGTTTATTATCCAACTATTTTTTAAAATAGTTTCCTAAAAACCCAGCTTTATTAAAAAAAAATCAAGAGGTACATCATCGTCGCCATCAATTTGTAAATGGTCATAAAATGGGTGATCAGTTTTTTTTTCTTTTAGAAGGATTTTTCATCAGAACCGAAATAAATAATAAAATCGATTTGAGATCGATAAGAATCTCTTATTAATATTATTGAGTCTGTTTTTGTTAAATACAGAAAATAAAACTAATGAAATGTTTATTATTTGCGAGAAAAATTAGAATCTGTTTTTTTTTTTTTTTGTTATAAAATTTAAAAAATGATTTAAATTAGTAAAAAAATTAATTTAACTTATATTTTCTTGTGTAAAAAAAAATATAACTTATTTTTCGGGGTAATTTATTAGTATTTTCATTCTTTTAACTAAAAATAAAATCTAGGAAAACGTTTTATTTTGACCGTTTTTTATTGTTTACTAGTTTTAAAAAAATCAATCATTTTTCAAATTATTGAATTCATAAGAATTGTTTATAAAAAATTCAAACTTTACAATCAGAAATAAAATATTGAAAATCTCTAAATAAATAAAAAATAAAAATTAAATCATTCTGATTTTGTTTAAACTTGATTGTTTTTAAAAGATGAAAAATATTGTCAAACAAATAGTCAAAAAAATGAAACTAAGAAAGGAATATTTAATTTATTTTAAAAGTGAAAACATTTTTAATTTTTTTTTCTTTAAGTAGTTTGTTTTTAAACTAAAGTTTTGTAAATTCTATCCATTAATATTAATTTAAAAATGAATAAAACATTTTTAGATTTACGACATAGAAACTTGAGATTAAAACCAATAATCAATTACTGAGGACGAATTTAACTTAAAATTATTTTTAAGATTAATTTTTACCCAAATAGTAATTACTACTGATTTCAATTTTAAAAAAATCGCCTGTAATCATTATTTTTTAATTGTTAGTTTTTCCTTGTATTTGATAATTTAAAAAAATTACCATAACATCCAATGATTAATAATAACAATTAAGTTAAGCTTCCTATTATTATTTATAGTCCAATTAAGTAAGTATATCTGCATATTATATCCTCCCGCAAAAAAAAAACTGATTATTTTATTTTCTGATTAGATTTCATTTGACTAATAAGATATTGATTTTTCTATCTTTATTGCAAAAAATTAAATTCCAGTAAAAATTAAAATTAAACGACAACTAAGGAAATTTGTTGTCACTTGATTCTTTTTAGGGGTCACCAATTAACCATGGGGTAAAAACTCAAAAAGATAATGCCTGATTATAAAAGTATTTTTGTCTTAGGTTTCATTTGAATAAGCAATTATTTTTTATTTAAAAAAACAAAAAACAACTCTCCCTTTATTTATTTCTGGTTGATTTATTTATTTGAATATATGATTTAACAATGATGTTTGTAAAAATTTGCTTAATGTAGTAAGCTAAGCACCTTCGTTTTTCGCCCACACACAAAAAATCATTTTTATTTTAACGACATTTATTATTTTGCAAACAATTGCAACCATTCTCTTTTTGTTACCTGAGATTTTTTCTTGAACCAATCCAACAATACCTGCCCCCTTTTTTAGTTAACATTATTATTATTGTTAATTAATGTTATTTATTATTATTAAAGATACGACCGCGTCAAGAAATTAACTTTTCTTATCATTTTTTGTTCTCTTTTCTTATTCATTTGTTACGATATATTTCAATCCACCCCGATGTGAAATTAGCGAAAGAATGACCTGCTGATTGTATTCATTTCTTTCTTTAAAGTTCTTCATTTTTATTATTATTATTTCTCTCAACTCTGAATAATAATTCCTTTCATAATTTTACGACATTTTATTTACTATTTGTCATTTCTACCATCTCTGCTTAATTTATTTCTTCTTCATCCTCGCCTCAGCTTCTCATTGTAATGTAATCCTTTATTTGTTTCTCTTTAAATCTGTTTAAAAAAAAAAAACCTTAAAATCTTCCTTTTTTTTTCTGATCTCAAGAAGAATTTAAAAATCCTATCTTTTCTATCGGGTGCTAAAGCGATTTTTCAAGTCATTTTCTTTAGGTGAGAGAAATAGCTAACATTCCTGTGTCGTATAATAAAACTAGTAAAAAGTATTCGAAAATATTTGTTGTATTTCTGGCCCTGGTGGTATATTTAGATACCTCACAAAAATGGGTGATCACTAGAGTAGCAGCAGTGAGGCGGATTGAATAGTGGAGAGAAGTGCTACTGTTTCTTCTTCTTCATCATCATCATCAAACAACCCTTGTTCTTTTCGGGGGGTCTCTTCTTGGTACCATCGTTATCACTTTCAACTCGACGTTTCATTCCCAAGCCTTAAACGAAGAAAATAACCAGGGGATCATGTTGAAATAATAATTAAAAAAAGAAAATGAATGAAAATCAGAAAAGAGAAATTGTATGGTGACCGCCTCGTAGTAGTTGTCGTGTAGCTGTCAACTTATTCCAACGTAGGTCGACCACACCTCCTTTCTCTTTTACAAGACGCTTGAATGAAAATCGGGGACCATTTTAGGATAAACCTACCATGCATAAATAGTCCCCCATTTTGTGACCAACCGATGAAAATTCGTACACCTCTTTAGTTTCTCTTTTTCATACTTGAGGGACGACTTCTCTCTCTTTTTTTTTTTAAACACCAAAATGCCGACTCTCGTTCGATCGCTCTTCATCGACTTTCATTTATTTGAAATCTTTCTTCACTTTTTACTTCTTCCTCCCTCCCTCCTAATATCATCGAAATAGGTTTGCTCAGATAATGGTCAGTTCTAAGTTTTTGAACAGAAATCCTGCAACAGTTTGTTCGTTGCTTTCATTTCTTAATCTGTGAATATTTTTTATTGCAAATTAAACGAATTCTGGCAAATTAATTCTTTTATTTTTTTTCTCCCTCTCTTTTTGACATGTAAAAACTCTCACCATTAAATCGACCCTAATAATAACGTAACAAAGACCGTTCTTTGCTGCTACACACACCTTTTCTAACCGTGACTAAAAACTGCTACTAGACTCGATTTTCTGTAGACTATGAAAAACCTGGAATTATTCAAATTCAACTTGACGACTGACTGCTACTACCAAGACGACTACAACGATGACGACTCTTCTTTGCCCGCTACATCAGCTGATGCTGACGTCTAGTCAGACTTTCCAATTATGAAAAATCCTTGCAGAAAAGAAGAGGAATAATAATAATAATTTGCAGCACCAAAAGTAATGCCTTCCTATCGCCACCGGCTTCTTCGGTTCAGACTTCTCTTCTTTTTTACACCAATCACAACAATAAATTACACCCCCTCCTTTTTTTATTTTTTTATTTTTTTTTTAACGTTTCGTTTAGAATCGGAAGATTTTTTTTTTTTCGTCATCCACCCGTAATAATTGTGAATGCCCAGAAACTAAGAAATACCTACCCTCTTTTCATTACATTTTTTACGCTTCGATCTGGACGAGTTTCTGTTCACCGCAGGGGGGGACGTGCGGGGCGGTTTTATTGTTTATTTTCTTTCCCTGCTCTCCACATTTCAAACTCTTTTAACAACAATACTTATTATTTTGATATTTTCAAGTCGTACTAAATAAGGTTCTTAGCTACTTGAATGTTTTGCCCTGAGAATCTAAAACACCCAGTTGCACATTAATTCAGGACAAAGAGCGAGGGAATGTGACGACGAGGTTTGTGTGTGTGTGTGTTGCACTTGTCTGAAAGTGACCAAATTGTAACTGCTACTTTATAATAATTTACTTAGTAATTTTGCTACTTCTAGTAGGAGTTAGTAGTCGTACTATTACCGAGGATCTCATTTAGAATAAATTACAAATATCATTTCATTTTTTTTTTTTTTTTTTATCTGGGGCTGCTACTTTTTTACTTTTACCTTTTTATTTCCCTCCCCTCCTCCTTTATATGACTAATAAAACCTAGATGACCTATTTCCTCTTTGTTTCCAAATTGTCTTTGCAGTGCTTTCTTCCCATTTTTGTTGTTTGGACTGAGTTTCATCCCCATCACTACCCTCACTTTTTTTTCTTGTAAATGACTGGAGACCTGTTATTTGCGAATATTTCTAGCCAATTTCGATTTGGACGTGTTTGATCGTTTCGCTATGCCGTAAATCTATATAAAAGTTCGACTTGATGCTGACAACTCTCCAAGAGTCTTATGAGGTGATAATGATGAGACAGCAAAAATATATATATATATATATATATAAAATCCTGTAACAAAATCTGAAGAATGCTCTCTTTTTACACAGAAATTCGAATCACTTTTTGAGAAGAGTTGCCTTCATTGTTCTCCGCCTCCTCATCAGTTTTAGAACAAGCGAATCATCACATGAGGAGAGATATATGACGTTTGAATTGATTTAGAGAGAGTGATGCACACTCCTGACAAATTCAGTGGTTGATTGTCTTGTCAACGATGATTTGGCAATTGTTCATCATTAACAACAATCGACTTGATGTACATTGGTTCGTTTCGAAATCCATTTTGGCAACACAAGAAACCGATTAGAGAAATGAACAAAACTCTTTTTCTCAATTTTTTTTTCATGCTTCTAGCGGTTTCTTTTTCGTTTTGAAATTGTCAAATCTGGATATGTTGAAATAATGAATATAATTTCTGCAGACGTCCTTACCCCCTCCACATTATGTCCATCCATACCAAACCGAGAAAGGGATTCTTTTGTGTCCTTGATGTTTTTTTTTTTTTTTACCAGTGACTTTGGTTTCAGTCAGACACTGAAAACATTGGTAGACTAGAATTGTTGCCCTCGGCTCTCTCGCCTTTCATACGCTAGAAATTAGGCGATTTAAACTTAATCTTATTTCCGCTGATTAAAAATGAAGCAAGTGATATTTAAAATGTTTAACTCAGGTAT